GTGGTAACTGTGAACCTTTTCGATCATAGGAGTTGCTATGCTGGAAGTGATCAATACTCCATCTAGCGTGATGCTTCTGTGGAAGGCAAGAAGCGCTTGTAATGTACCTGTCTAACTGTGCAGTGTTCTTGGACATCTTGCAGAAAACCCTTCTCCTCCTATTGTGCTTCCTCTTAATTAGCAAAAGGAGAATCTTAACCGTCCCATTCTTAACCCAGCCGCAACATGTCTCTGCCAGAACAAGCTTTGTTGAATTCTACAGTGTCCATTGTGGTTCAGCATCACGTCTGGAACAGCTGCACTTATCAAGTCAGAGAAGCTATGTGAAATAACATCAATAGTTTAACAATATTTACGGCAATGACATCATGACTGATGTTGAGTAGTGGCACAGTCTACTCTTAAATGATCTATCTCAGAGGAGGGTCTGTTAAAACAAGGAGTCATTTAATCATTCCATGAGAGTCCAACAAAATTAATTTTTTTAAAAAGCTGCAGATCAAAGACATGATGCACTAATGGGCAGTACATGATATGCTGATAATAATCAATGGACTATTGAATTTGTCAGTACCTGTCACCTCCCAAAAGCCAAATAGATCCCTGAGTTAAAGTCGCATTGAATCAGGGAGCTGTAGCAGTCAAGTGGTGTTTCAAATATTGCGGGACTAAATTGGATGAGAAAGTCCAGAGCCTAAATAAAACATTTTTCTCCTCACTCTTCTGCCTTAATCTCCTCTCATTGCTTCCTTATTATAGAAATGGTGTTAACTGTTGATGAAACAATAGTTGGTCTATAATCCCCACCACCATTTCTGAGTAACTACTATGAGTCCCAAACATCTTTGGCATGGATTTATCTGCCTACTCCTGGGTATTTGGTAGTTCAGCTATGACTCTGTAGCTACATACACAATCACCTTTATAGCTACATTCCTGAATGTAGAAGGCTTCAGGTATTAATACTAGATGCTGCATTACTGACACGGCTCCCATCAATTTCAATGGGAATTGTGTGTGTAAAATCCCCTAGTGAGCTGTTAACAGGTCAGCCTGGGATCATTGCTAATGTTGGGTCTCATTGGCCATACTGTCTTCCTTATAAAAATAGGCAGTTCTGACTGCCTGGAGCTTATAGTGTTAATTTATTCACTTCTGCTGAATCTTGCTTGTGTTGCAGCAGCAGTTTTGTAAAGAGGCATCATATTGCTGTGTGTGGCCCCATTCACAGAGTGTGTGACCTGAATGTCTCTGGTACTTGATTCCACACTCAGAGCAGGGGATTTAAGGCCATAGTAGAGTTATTTTATCTTATGAGCTCTTCATAACTTGTATCTTGAGAAGCCCTTTGAATTCTGTTCTTTTCAAGGATTTCTTAATTAGTCTACTCCATAGCTATATGACAGTGGAGCAAATGAGTCATGCCTGAAGGGAAAGGAGAAATTTCAGCAGTAGGCTTCTATTCCCCTTTGCTATGTGAACCATGAGTAAGCAGTGTAGTAAATGGCCCTAACAGCATTATTGATTAATTATCAAGCTTAAACTTAAACGCCCACACACACAGCTTAATAGGACAAATTGTAAACCATGCATTTAGAAGTGTGAAAAGATCTCTCTACTGCTGCACTAGCTATGGTAGCATTTGGTTTTCTGGGTCACTCACTACCACTATTTGATCCTTGCTTTTCTTACGTAGAAAATGGTCCCATATTAACACCAGTTGTATGATCCAAACTCATCCTAACTCAGTGTAGATGGGAAGTAGTGAGGTCCAGTAGATAAGACACAGGACTGGGATTTGAGTCCTGGATTCTATTCCAGCTCTGTCATTGATAGAGTGTATGACCTTAGGCACATCTCTTAACTTCTCTGTAGCTCTTTTTTCCCATCTGTAACCTGGGGACAATGATGCTTGTCCACCTTTGTGAGCCCCTTTGAGATGCACAGATGAGAAGTGCTCTATTCATGCTAAGCATTATTATAATGCACCCCCAATAGCTGGAGTGCTGAAAAGAGGTGAGGCACGGCTGAAACATTTCGGACCATTTTAGCTGCTATATTAATTCTAGGGATGGTCAGAAAAACAACAATTACATTTCATGAAATATGTCACAGTTTGGAATTTGTTTGTGAGAGAGCAGAACAAAACTGAGATATTTCAAAACATGTTGTGAAAAAACTACAGCAAGTTGTTCTCTCACCCCAAAATAGCCTAGTGGTTAGGGCACTCCCCTGGAATGTGAGAGACCCAGGTTAGAGTACCCACCCTGCCGTATTCAGAGCTGGGACTTGTCCCTATGTCTCCCACCACCCAGGTGAGTGCCCAAACTAATGGGCTATTGGCTATTCCAGGTGTCTTTCTCTTCCTCCCTCACCTGGACCTGAGAAATCTTCCTTGCAACATTTTGGCGAAACAGATACATTGCCACAAAACATTTTGGTTTTGATAAAAAAGCATTTTCCATCCAAAATAATTTTGTTTTTTAAAAAATGCAACCAGCTCTACTGCCTCCTGTTCTGCATCCTGTAGCATGCACTTTTTTGTCCATGTACTGTTTGCATTGGTACCAAACCAAAAAAAAAATAGTAACACAGGATGCGATCAACTGTGCCTGGAAAAATATAATCAACCTCAGGTGCATATCATAGCCAATGCTGGGCTATACAGCACAGTGGATGGATACGGAGATAATATTTCAGAAGAGGTTATTAACATGACTGAAGATGGGGTATTGGGTATAATAAATAACTTTGTCGTTGAACCATATGTAACACCAACAGACCCTGGTCGGTGGCGGGTGGGATTGAACCGGGAACCTCTGGAGCTTAGTGCGTGAACCTCTACCACATGAGCTAAGAGTAAACTGGCTGTTAGCTAAGGCTGTAGAGCAGACTCATTAATTGCTCTCTCTCTAAGTGGTTTCAGTGCCACTAGATGGGACAGAACACCACACCCAGAAGGTGTGTGGGTTACACGTACACCTCCACCCCGATATAACGTGACCTGATATAACACGAATTCGGATATAACGCGGTAAAGCAGTGCTCCGGGGGGGCGGGGCTGTGCACTCCAGCGAATCAAAGCAAGTTCGATATAACGCAGTTTCACCTATAACGCGGTAAGATTTTTTGGCTCCCGAGGACAGCGTTGTATCGGGGTAGAGGTGTACACACAAGTTTTCTCCTTTCCCATCCTCCTCAGGGACTGTTCATGCCACCTGCCTTCCAGAGGCTAGCACTGCACAATGGGGTTACAGAAAATCAGGATTCACACGCCCCTCTACATTGGATTAGACTGTCTGGGGACACTTCCCTAACCAAATCATAATGGGAAGAGTCCTGTGTTTTCTTTGACCTCTCAGGAAGGGAGCCCCCAAAGGTTCACAGACTCACATAGATGTCTAGGCCGTTATTCTTAGTCATGTCCCTGATGAAAGTCCATAAATGTTGTTCTCCAGAGGTTAAGGTTAATGGGAAAGTCTCTGACCCAACAAATCAGGGTGGACTTGTAGGGAAAAGACAGCTGGACATTCCCTTGGTAGTGACTATCACAGTGCAGGATACAAAGATTTTCCTTATGGTCCCTTGCTTGTACTTCTTCATGCATTTTTTTAAAATGATCTTTTAGGGTTGAAGTTTTCCAGGCTTCGTCTCTGCCTGAGCAGAGCTTTTACTTTGAATGTTTGAAGTGAACCTCCTCTGATGTTACTGAATCATGAGTGGGTGCAGGGAAGGGCTATTGTCCCCATGGTTATAAGGACTTGCTGCTCTGTTTTATCACACAGATCATTGAAAAATGACTCAACCATGGCATGTAAATAGTCCTCAGTGAGGAGTATGTCCAAGACTAAGTTTTAAACAAATTGTTTGGAAAGTAAGAAAGTTGCGACCATTTGAAAATGACATACTGAATACACGCAGTAGAATCATTCCTTAAATGCAAGTGATTGTTCGCCCAAAGAGATGGGCTGTGCATATGGGCATTTTTTCCAAAGTAAGCACTTTTTGATATATGTTAATAACCAGTTGACCCTAAGCTTAAGCATTTGTTTTCCTTTGAGGACTTACTTAAAGAGGCTTAAGTGCTAATTTTAACCACCCTAAAAGCAGCATAAAATCTTAGGTCACTGTGGGGTACTTTCTGTTCTGAAAAGTGGCTCTGTAAAAATGCTACCATTGGGTTCCATTTTTGTATCTCAAGGGCTTCCGTAGCAAATATGACCTGGTGCCACAAATGTGCTCTGAGATCTAAAGTGCATGCTCTGTTCTTTCAGGCTAATGCATAATCACCAATAACAACAACTCTGTGATCCAAAATCTGCCTCAGTTACCCAGCACCTCTCACTGTCTGAAACTGGGGTGGATCAGATGCAATAGAGAGCACAGTTTGGCTGTGCAGTTGGCACTTAGTAATTCTGTTGCATGAAGCATGAGCCAGAATGGACTTGGCTTCTTGTCACTTTGCTGCTTCTGAAGGGCTCTAAAGCAATAAAATCTGATTTGGGGCCTAGTCAGCAGAGATGACTCTGAATACACAGAGGGTGCAGGGCAGGTCATTTCAGTAAGGAGGTGCCATTTGAAATAGTCACTATTCAGCCCTATGAACTGCACTAAGAAATGAATGTGCTTTAAATTCTTATGCTTCTGCAAGGATTTGAAGGTTCTTATTCACACTAGAATAAGAACCAGATTGAGGCTTTAAACTGGGCCCATACTGGGACAAGGAGGGGCTACACTGCAGCATGAGCCCCTGGAAACCAGGAGTTCACACAACAGTGGCAGCCTTCCAAAGCTTGCAACATGCTGTCTTTTGCTGGACAGTGTGAGTGTGTGTGCAGGGAAGGCAGCATGGTTCTGTCCTCCTCCTGTTCACAGTGGAGTGACTTGTGCCATTTGTGGCAGTGATCTGGAACAAGGCCTGTGCTCAGAGAGTGCTAGTTGAGTGAAATGCTTCTGTTGGAGGTAACTGGTTGCCAATGCCTTACTTGCTCTGTTCCCAGCTCATCAGCGATGGCAGCGTGGTGTACGCAGAAGCCCTCTGGGATCATGTCACCATGGATGACCAAGAGCTGGGATTCAAGGCTGGTGATGTCATCGAAGTGATGGATGCTACCAACAAGGAGTGGTGGTGGGGGAGGATCCTGGACAGCGAAGGCTGGTTTCCAGCCAGCTTTGTACGGGTAAGGACCTAAACATTGTTTTTAATCCCAGTCTGTTAACAACAGCTCCCTGATAGGAGTGCCCCAAGCACTTCCATGGTTGGAGGTGATTTGGTGTAGAATGTGCTGGTGATCAGAGCCATGTACATTGTTGTTTCTCTTTAATAATGCTGTGCTAGGGTTACCAACCCTCCTGGTTTCGCCGGGAGTCTCCTGGAATCGGACTCTATCTCCCAGAGGCTACTGAAGCCAAACTGAGAGATTTTAGGCCGCTAAAAGTCCGGTGGCGCAGCGGGGCTAAAGCAGGCTGCCCCACTCCCTGAAGTGGCCAGCATGTCCCTGGTGGTGGGGGGTGAGTAAGGAGTCTCCGCGCATTGCCTCTGCCCCGAGCACCGATTCTGCAGCTCCCACTGGCTGGGAACTGCGGCCAATGGGAGCTGCAGGGGCGGTGCCTGCACCCCTCCCACGCCCCAAACCGCTGCCTAGCCCTGAGCTCCCTTCCAGAGCTAGCACCCCATACTCCCTCCCACACTCTGAACCCCCTCCCACACCCCAATCCCCTGGCCCAGCTCTGAGCCCCCTCCCACACCCAAACTCCCTCCCAGAGCTTGCACCCCACACCCTCTCCTGCCCCCCAACCCTCTGCCCCAGGCTCAGCCTGGAGCCCCCTCCCACACTCCGAACCCCTTGGCCCCAGACCAGAACCCACACCCCCTCCTTCACCCCAACCCCCTGCCCCACTGAAAGTGAGTGAGGGTGGGGAAGAACGAGCGATGGAGGATGGAGTGAGCGGGGTGGAGCAGGAGCAGGGTTTCAGGGAAGGGGTGGGGCAAGGGTATTTGGGTTTGTGTGATTAGACAGTTGGCAACCCTATGCTGTCCTGAACTGAAGCCTCAGTGGATCTCTCCATTTGTCATGGTAGGCCCAAATCCCCAGCGACTGTAAAGCATCATAATTGAATTGAAATCAATGGAGCCATGCCGAACCTACACCAGCTGAGGATCTGGCCCTACAAGCCCCATTTATTGGATGTGACAGACTTGGTGGACAAAATTTGAGCTCCAGAAGTGTAGTCTGTGGTTTGGATGGTGCAGAAGTGGGATTCCTTACTGCTGGTTTGCTGGGCCATCCGAGTTCTCCTTACTTATGGGGGAGAAAAAGAGCCCAGGCAGATTCAGTGCATAGGCCACATATTTTCCTTCCCTTTCCAGGTAAGAGGGAATTTTCATTCCATTGTGTGAGCTGCAGTTCTCAGTATGGAATCCCAGCTCTGCATCACTGCTTCAGCACGACTACATTAACTGAGAATTGATATGGGGAAATTCAGGTCTGTCAGGATACCTGGATTCTCAGTTATTTGTCCTCACACAAATTACCTGATACAAATTATGTATTTATGCCTATAGCAAAAGTCCTGGTTGGGAGTCTGACTGATTGGGACATAAAAGTTTTGAAATCTTTTGCTAGGGCTGTGCAGGAGGCAAAGAAGAGGTTCCTTGTCTCCTCTTTAGCATCCTTAGTCCCTAGCCGAAGACCTGTTCCAGATGATAAAATGTTGTAGTTCGTAAATAAGATCACTTGGATGTGGAGCCAGTTTTGACCTTCCATGGGGACAGAACTGGTTTCTGGAAAGTCTTTTCTGCTTGAGCGCCACACTGAGATTGCGTTGGAGGAGCTTCAGGTTGTTGCCTATAAGTTGGACCCATGTCCCTCCTGAGTGGTAAAAACCTGTAGTGAGACAGCATATCTGTTGCTGACAGGCATTGTCAGTGCTGGCCTTTAAAAGGGCAGGATGCCAACTTCTCCTACTGCAATAGTTGATGGCTCCTTGCTCAGGCAACTCAAGCATTGCCAATTATCACTTGACCTCTGATCTCTTTCAGGTAAGAGCTTTAGGGAAGGGAGTATCAAAGCAACTCCAGCTAACCTGAACTCTCAGACTTCCTTGAGTCTACGCAGTCATTTTAGTTGTGGGTCTAACATGGAGTTTGCACTAGTTTTGCTGGTCCATGCTCTCCTGCTAGCAATGAAGGAAAATCGGCATCCCACATCTTTGATCCATCAGCTTTTGTCAATAATGTTGACAATGTGTCAATAATGTGTGGGTATAGATGTGATAATCCTATCTTAACAAATTTTAACTATGTAGAAATCTAAACAAACTCTTTGTATCATTGCAATATTTGTAGCACTAAAATGGCTGAAGTGGAATGGACATTTGCAAAATGATGTTGCATGTTCCTTACTTGAATTTTCTTTGTTCTTTCCTAAGCATTTTATATGATATTTTTCTAAATGGTATTAGATATACAAATGGGGTAACCTGAGACAGTTAAATATGCGCTATGACAGTACTGTATAAAAGAACTGAATTGAAAATTGCCTGGAATTACCTAACAGTGGTTTTAGTACAGCTGATAAGGTAGACTGTGTACAGCAAGTCCTCTACGAAAATGTCTGATATTTTTGCCAATATTCATGCTGTGCTGCCATCTAGTGGCCATACTGAAAGAAGCATGAGTCTCATATTAAATGTGTCAAGTATCAGAGGGGTAGCCGTGTTAGTCTGGAGCTGTAAAAAGCAACAAAGAGTCCTGTGGCACCTTATAGACTAACAGATGTATTGGAGCATAAGCTTTTGTGGGTGAATACCCACTTCGTCAGACGCAACCTTGAGCTGTCTCTTCATATGGCATTACTTGCCCACTGGCATCTATATTCAATTCATATAAAGAAATGTTTTATTACTGTTATTTACCTTGTAAGTAATGAGTGTCCTTTAATTTACTCCTTAACAAAGACTATCAAAGCAGAATTTATCTATTGATTTATTCCCCTAAACCCACCCCATAAAAACCCTCAGACTTGATTAGTAAATCATTTACTGAGGTGCTTTCCCTTGGTTTATATGTATTTCCTCACATCACACCTGTGATCCTTCCATCCAAGAGGGAGCCCATCAATATCACACCTTAGTTAACGGGAGCAGTGGCTGGGTGACATGAAGGCATCCCCCAGGTGCTGAATACCTATCCTCTGCCATATTCTCAGCCCCTCCAAGGTCTATGGAGCAAACGGCAAGGTCTACTGACTGAAACTAGCTATCCCTATCACTAGAACTCCCTCCACCCTCCCCTGGCCAATCTCTGGGCCCAGGTTCTGGATATTTCATAGAATTAATTCTGGAGGACATTGACTAACCCATGTGTGGGCTCTAGGAATGTGACAGGGAGGAAGTGCCCATCACAGCAGCCTTGCTGTCCTCCAACATGTCCTTCTTGGTGGTAGAAGGATCTGAATTAGTGACCCAGGCAAGATGAGAGAGTAAAAACAGGGACTGTTACCCAATGGAAACCCATGTGTGTTTGACACAGCTCCGAGTGAACCAAGATGAACCCATGGAAGACTATCCTATGAAGGCAGAGGATGGCAAAGAGGAAGATGCCAGCACCGCCGCCCGGCGTTATGGAGTGGGGCAGACAAGCAAGGACCAAATGAGGACCAATGTTATCAACGAGATCATAAGCACAGAGAGAGACTACATCAAACACCTGAAGGACATCTGTGAGGTAACCAGGCTGTGAAAGGAGAGAATAAGGGGCAGATAGAATGGGTGTGACCCAAATGCATGAACTGAACCCACTTCAGAAGGGAGAGATCTCCAGCCCCCACCCTACTAAGCTGTCTTGTGCTCTTCTTCTCTCTCTAGCTGCAAATTACTCTTCTTCCCTTAAGAAAAGAACCCTCGGTTAGCAGAGTTGTCTCTCTGTCATATACCCTCTGCCTACCCCCTCTGTAATCACTGTGCATGTTCAGGAAATGGAGAATACTGATTCATTCCAGGAATATCCCAAATGCCCCTTTATTTGGAGCACAAAGAGGAGTCCTGATTAAATGTAATGAACTGAATTTCCCAAGCCAAGAAGACTAGAATACTAGCACCACTATATTCTTTATTAATAAATGGTGAGAGGTGGCATGAACAGAAATACCAGTTTTCATGCAATTCATATACTCATAGATCCAAACCCTGGGGAATGTTCGGCCTATTAGACCATTCACTTCTGAACATGCTGAATATTCTGACATCTCCTTTAACAAGAGACATGCCATGTGGTGATAATTGGTGATAACAGCTTTGCATGGACATAGGACCTTTCCTCCCCAAACACTTCGCAAAATACATATCTAAAACACCACTGAGCTGTAGCCTCATCCGGGATGGACAGAGGAAGCCAACTGGGGCGATACAGAGACACTTTTATCCAAGGACACTAGTATATTCAAGCCCAGATCTTCAGCTTGTGTAAAACAGCATAACTCCATCAATGGAGCTATTGTCGATTTATATCAGCTGAGGATCTGACCCTTTGGGTTTAACCAGAGTATCTGGTACACATACAGTCAGCTAGTTATTTACCGGAGAAGATTCTATAGTGCAGGTTGTACCATTGAGCATGGGTTACAGTATCATCCAAGGCATGTTTCTGACTATGGTTTGATTTCCATGTGTGCCATTTTAGGCATGGTACCTTCAGAAATAGTAATAAAAGCACAGCGGACTCATACTAGAAAGGTATAGGGTTTTGATCTAAAACCCACTGCAGTCAAGGAGAGTCTTTCATTGACTCCAGTGGTCTGTGGACCAGGCCCTTGAGCAAGTACCCAACACCCCTTTAAAATCTGACTTCCTCCCAGGGTTACATTAAGCAGTGCCGCAAGAGGGCTGACATGTTTACAGAAGAACAGCTGAAGACAATCTTTGGGAACATCGAAGACATTTACAAATGCCAGAAAAAATTTGTAAAAGCGCTGGAGAAGAAATTCAACAAAGACCATCCACACTTGAGTGAGGTCGGCTCCTGCTTCCTGGAATATGTGAGTTGATTTGCAGTGTCTTCATGGGAGAAGGCTAGCTGGGGAGATGTTAGCTGGATGGAATTTTTAAGCTTTAGGTTTTTTAGAATTAAATCTGTAGCCCTTCTGGTTGCCAAGAAGACCTTCCCAAGGTGACTCAATAAAAAGCTGCCTTGCTGAGTGCAATACCTCTCCATTGGGGGTGTAAACTCTGTAGCCTAATGTAGCCATTTGCAGGCCAATATTTTAAGTATTTTACTCCTGATCATCAATTCATCAGAAACATCCATCTGGGTAGGGGATAGAGTGGCCTGTGGAGTACAGGGGATGTTGGACGCATCCTAGCCTGTCTGATAAGTAGCATGTACCATAATTTTTAATTGGCCTCAGCCAGGCAAACATATAGGACATTTATCAGATGGGCCTCTTCTCCCTCTAAGAGGAGACTGCGGGTTGGCATAATGGGAGTGGGCTGGAGGGCACATATAGATCCATCATTGAGTGTATAGGCCTACCAGGGAGAGAAGTATATCAGCATGCCTGGCAGTACCCACTACCAAAGGGCACCACTACCAAGGCCAGGGTGAGGCGTGGAAGAGACTAGTGGTTGCCTACCAGGACAGGTGGGTGGAGTCCCTTTATTGGGAAGCAGGGTAGGTATTATAGTTGTTTTGGGCCGGGGGGCCCGCAGTGGGTAGAGGATGGCTGAGCTCTGCACTGTGCAGCATTTTCAGGCCCAGACCCTGATATGAGAGAGATTACCACTAGGGGTTGCCTTTTCATTCCCATCTCAGCAAACAGAGTTCCAGATTTACTCCGAGTACTGCAACAACCACCCCAACGCCTGCGTGGAGCTGTCCCGACTCACCAAAGTCAACAAGTATGTCTACTTCTTTGAAGCGTGCCGCCTGCTTCAGAAGATGATCGACATCTCTCTGGATGGGTTTCTGCTGACTCCAGTGCAGAAAATCTGCAAGTATCCACTGCAGTTGGCTGAACTACTCAAATATACCAACCCCCAGCACAGGTAGGTGCAAAATGTCAGGGAACGGCTTATACACGCATGGGAATGGGGAATTTGTGAACAGTTGTCTCAGAGTTACAGAAAAAGGATACTCATCGTAGCTGTATGTTATATTCACAATTGTTTAGCATGCCGTCTTACCAGATATATCCTTTTTTATTAGGCAAACACTGAGCTTTCTCTACCTGTGTAGTAGGTACCACCCTACTGTTTGTTTAGTATCATGTTCACTTCCTTATTTGAGCCCCAAGAGTGATATTAGCACAGCCAATAGGCCTCATGAGTCAACTTGTGCTTCCTTTGCTGGCTGTGCAGGAGCACAGCACATAATGCTGTAGGTCCTACCAAAACAAAGGCTGTTTGTCTGGGAATCTGAACAAAGCCTGAGTTAGAAGTA